GTTCGCGCCAAAACGAAACGGTCAAGAGCGCCACCGTTGACGTTCGCATTGAATTCAACTGCAAAGAAAATGTACCCGCCGACACAACCGCGTACTGTCTGATCATACACGATCGTATTGTCGAGTACAACCCGCTGACCAGCGTCGTGCGGCGTATCGTTTAGAGCAGTTGTCAGTCGCGTTCGTACGGTCACCGATGGTCGCACACTATGTCTGCGTCGACGACGACATCGATGTCCACCATGCTGCGTTCCACGGTGGACATACCAATATTTGTGGATTTTCAAGGTTTTATGATTGGAGATAACAACTTTATAACTAAGGAAGCGGCAATACTTCGGAACGGACGCGAGCTGATTCACCATGTGTTTCGAGAACCTATGTCGTGGAACCTGTTGACAAAAGCCTAGCAGACGCGAGCGTGCTGGCTCACGGTCAACCATCACAACCTGCACTGGACCGATGGAACGGTGGAATATCAGCGATTGAAGCCGCTGCTTCGAAACGCTCTGTCAAGCGCACCGAACAACGGGTCTACACTGTATGTAAAAGGTGCCGAGAAGAAGCAGTGGTTGACAAAAGAATATTTGCGCTTTCTCCCATCCAATTTTACAAAGCTGGATGCGGCTTATCAACAATCGTCCGGCAAGCTCGTGCTCTTCGCCGATGGTTATGTGTACTTGGTTTCCTATCCTAGTTTACAATTGCAAGATGGTTGGCCGCGCAGTTTTTCTGAGATTGGATTGCCTAGTGATGCCGTCATTAACACCGCGTTTCAATCTTTTATGGGACACACCTACGTCATATTCAACAACGACTCTGTGGCCGTTGTAGATAATTGTAGCGTGCGGATTAAGGAATATAACAAATTGAAATTAACGTTTCCAGGAGTTCCACCGAGTATGTCGTTGGCTTTCCGTAATGCAGATGGTTTTGTGTACTTTCTGTACTCCGAGAGATATCTCGCGTTCAGCGAATTCACCAGTTTTATGCACTCTGCGGAACCTTTTAATATGCGTTTAATTGATATTCATTGTCCGGATATAAACATCTTATACAACTTAAAGTCCCTAGTTTCTCAACTCGAAAAGTATGAACACGCTCTTCATTCAGAGTAGATGTAGTATGTGTGCGCGTTGAGAGTGGGAGTATTTGCTTTATTATTTTATGTGAGGGTTATATAAACCGCTACATGGCAACCGTACTGTTAGTCAGTCATTTACCCTCGTTGTGATCGTCCTGTGTGCTACGGGTTGTCGATCTTTCTCCTCTTCGCAAAGAACAGCTCAACGATGTTTTGCTCGATGGTTCCGATGAAGCAACAACAACAACCTTCCATCGATCTTCAGCGCGAGCCTCAACACAACGGTGTGAAGAGAAAGAAATTTGATCATGGGTAAGTAATTTTTTTTTATTTTTGAATTCTTTTTGTTGCTTCTATTTTTATTATTTTTTTTAATTCACGATAGAATCATGTTTAGTTGTCTTATTTACAGACAATGCAATGGCATCCAACCAACACAACCTATGCGAATACTGAGTCGCAAGTACATATTAACCAAGACGGGATATAAATATTTCGAGCTCGGCATCGGTATCTCATCCAAAGATGCTTCACCAACCGTTGATGTGGCTCTAGGTGACAACAATGGGAACGAGGTGCTTTTGTCGCCGGAAATGTGGAACACGTTGTTGGATAACGAACGAGTCATCACGTTGTATTTGTCTGGCTAGAGCGATGCGCAGCCGTCGATTCTTGTCGACGATCTAGCGTTATCGTTCAGCTTGATAAACACCGCGAGGATTATACGTCTGTCTACAAAAACCGGTCGCATATTACTTTCCCACCAATCAATGTGCAACTTGTTCAACTTAAAACATTGCGTGGCATGCATCATTGCCTACTTGAACAATGTTGTTATTCGCG